TTTTCTGAGATGCTCTGTCCTGCACAGGGAGCCACATTATTATTGGAAATGCTCAGTGGAGAGTTCATGATCAGTGACTCCAAGCAGCAGAGGTGAGTCACCACACCTGCCAATCAAAGTAGGCCATGCCCCTAACTCCAGCATCCAGGTGGATGAGTTATAAAGAATCAGGATTTATGAAGAAGACAAAAACATAAATATGGTATAAAATGCCTTTTAATTCTGTAAAGTTTGGCATTTGTTTTAAATCCTGTCCTGTGTGACGGCTTTTCCAATCAGATTTGTGATCTGAATGCACGCTGGTGCCAAATACATTTTGCTCTCCCAAGAACAGCTATATAAAAATCTGCTCGTTTAGGTGTTTCTTTCTTTTATTTATTCATTTTTATTTATATTATTTCAGTTATTACATTATCTGTGGGATGATATGATGATGTCTAAGGCAGGACATTAGAAGATGTTTTTGTACTCTGTTTTCCAGTTGCTTGGTCCAAACCTGTAAAAAGGGCTAGGCAAGACTTGCAGACGTTTTCAAGAGAAAAGTTAAAGATTTACTTTTTTGCTTTTAAATTTTCAGGATGTTTAGTTTTATAATTATCTTGTACCTCCTGCAGCTGTGAAGCTGCTTGGTGTGAGGTGGATGTCAGTATCAAGTGGAGCTGCTGCGCTGGCTCCTCTCACTGGGTCCAGCTTGATTTATTAATCAAGTGCTGGAGGTTGCAGCAGATCGTCATTACTATTGTGATGAACATTGTGCTGTTACCTGTTGTTTGCAATCATCTGCCTGTAATAATCCCGTCTCTCCTCGCCTCTCCTGGTTTCCTGCTCCCAGCTGTCTTGGAAATCTTTCCTCCTTCGGAAACACACTCGGCTGCTGCCTGTGGAGCAAACTTGCCCACTTCATCACTTGTTCTCTGTAACCTGTCAAAGAAAGGAATCACCTGCTCCCCAGCCTACCCACGCTCTGCCTGTTCCCCTTACTAACTTCTGATTTGCCTCCAGCCGCCCACGGACCCCCCTCCAGTCTCCTACAACACAAATAAGACTGACACAGTTTATCACTCAGCTCTGCAAACAATATTCCTCATCTGCAGCTCCGTTAGCTCCCTGTCTCACTCGGGGAGACCTCCTGTGTTTTGACACTGATGTTGCAGAACGTTGACACCTCCAGCCTGCTAGTTTTTCACTATTCATTCTTTACCAATAAATGTCTCAAACTTGCTAACTTGAAACAGCTAAATGGCAGTTTTCTTGAGAAAATGTTGCTAGAATACATTCTTTTCTACCCATCCATCAATCATCTTGATGCATGCTCATCAATCATCCAGGTAAGTAGAAAAGTTGATTCTGTTCATCTGGACGTAGCGTTTTGTGGGAGAAACATTTCGTCACTCATCCAAATGACTTCTTCAGTCTCAGCTGACTGCAGGTTTCCCCAATCTTATAAACAGTACATTTGCATAATGACTGAAACCAGCCCACTGAAGGAACAATTGTGAATGGTACTCATGGCCAGTGATCAATGGTCCTTGACAGTGGGTTTTGATCAATGGTCATAAGAATTTGCATAATTAAGATTAAGGAACTGACCCATTGTTCCTTCAACATACATCAATCATCATCTTCGGGTCACGATGGCAGCAGGCTTAGCAAGGTTTCCCAGATATCCTTCTTTCCAGCAACGCTTTCCAGTTCCCCTTGAAGGATCCTGAGGCCTTCCACAGGCCATTCAACACATATCATCTCTCCTGGGTTCTCCTTCCAGTTGGTCGTGGCTGGAAAACCTCTTGGGAACATCCTAATCAAACGCCTGAGCCAATGAAGCGCGCTCCCTTTGACGGGAAGGACCAGCAACTCTTCTCTGGGCTCCCTCCAGATGTTTGACCTCCTCACCACAATCTTGTGCTTTCAGTCACTACCCAAAGCTCGTGAGCACAGGTGAGGGTTGCAACGTAGATCTAAAATTGAAAGCTTCGCCTTCCTCACGCTCCAGTTTCCCCATTCTTTTGTGAACAAAATCCAAAGAGTTTTGAACTCTCTTCCATGGTGCAACTTTTCCCTGACCTGTATTTAATTTCTAATTGAAAAAACTGAGAAACAAGGATTTTTCATTAAACTGGAGCCAGTAAACTGTATATGTCTGGCACTTGATTTTCCCACGGTGGCCCTCAGTAAAACTGAGTCTGACACCTTTGGTTTAGAACAAAGTCGTGTGAAAGATGTTGCTGCTGCTGTAAAATTGCAAAGAAACATCAAGTCTGACAAAAATACACCTCTGCGTCAGACAGCGGCCGTCTTGTTCCTTTCCACCTAGCTAGCAAAACACCCTCTGTGTGAGGGTGTAAAAGATATTATTTTTGCTTTACAGAAATAATTCATACATCCATCAAGATACATAATAAAATCACTTAGCACACACTGTGCTGACCATCTGTTGTCAGCGCCGCTCCAGAAATCCCGGAAGGACGACTGTGGGCAAGTTTGATATGACTCACCGCCCAGCTGCCGGGAGATAATCAACACACAAAACAAGGAAAATGGCAGAGTTCACTGTAGTGCTGTATCTGTTGTCTACACAGTGAGAATCTGTGGTTTTGTTCGAGCTCGACTACATGTCTGAGACGAGAATGCAGATGTGGAGAAAGACTTGCAGATATGCGAAGATGGCAGCATTATTCATCACCCGACTGATCCCTGAGCAGCAGGAAGGGCTGACGCTGCTGCAGGAGAATTCATTTTCTCTCTGCCAAATTGACAACAGTCGCACACACAGACTCCTTTTTGTGTTTTAATCAGATTTCCTGACCTTTGCGCCACATGAGTAACATCTTAATTAGATCGGGGATTCGCTTAGAAGCCCCTCTCGAGGCCTCTGAGGTGATGTGCGTCTGATTTACATTTCTAAAGCACTTTTGACAGAACGTGTATGAGATTAAGCTCTAATTACTTGCATAAAGCAGCATTAAAAAGACAAGATGAAACACGGTGGACTGACAATAAATGGAACCTGTATGAATCTTGTATCTGCTGAGAAAACAAGGAGAGAGAAAAGAAAAAGAAACTCGTTTTCCTCTAAGGTGAACTTTGCTCTAGTTGCTCCAGTTGAGTCCATACAGTCCAACACTGTGAGCTACACCCTCACAGGCCATCTCAGAAATGGCAAAAAGAAGAGAAGACAACACACAAAAAGGAAAGAAAAAAACAACTTACACGTGGCAAGGTTCAGTAACCAGCACTTTATTTGGAACGCAACAGCAGGAGCTTGGATGAGGGACACTTTCTGCATTTTCTAACCCAATAACATGTCAAGGTGTTACTCATACAGATTAACAAATCCTCCAGGCCAGCATTCAACACACAACACACACACACCTCTAGTTCTCAGCTGGCAAACAGTGTTGTTTTGATGCAGGTTCACGTGCAGCTCCCCACAAATGTGACTGCACAGCGTGGTGATGCATACAGCTCCGGAGTAATCTGTAAACATGACATATTGATCTGCAGAATGATTTTGAATCCTCTGAACGATTTTTCTAATGTGGCTGTCTCCTGTTCTGTTGCTACAAAGCTCTGACGAGCGTCTCATCTCCTTTCTGACTTTCGGGAGTTTCAGTGGTAGTAACTGTTGGCTGACGTTAATCAGCTCCAGTTGTGCTTGTTTTTAGTTGTCGCTGGTTCAGTTGCACAAAGAACTTCAACAAATAGGCTGAGAAACACCATCACTCACAGCTGCTTCCAAAGGTTCCATTTATATTCAAACACAGGAGTTTAAATCAAGCCATAAAATTTAATTTAATCTGCAAACTGTCAGATAAGTGCAGTGCAATAAATGTGCATGCAGTGAAAGATAGCATAAAATGCAAATAAAAGAACCTCAAAACTGAGTTTGTTGTCCCAGTAACCAAACCCCATGACACCCTCAGGATGGATGGATGGATGAATGGATGGGTTTACCAGGATTCTGCTACTGACTGAACAAAAATTAAGATACCAAAAAATCACCATATAAAATTGACCATATGGAAATACTTTCCTGTTTTAAATGGCTTAACAAAATTAATTAAATAATACTCATTCCATGCTTTTTAGAAAGTATAGGTATTTTAGGCTGTGAATATTGGATATAATTTGTAGTTTCAAATGTATTTCTACACATCAATGTAAGAAAACATAATATTTACCTCATTTACCTTGTTTTTTGATATTTTAACAACTGTTTAAATGTTTGATTTTGGAAATTGCGCCCGGAAGTGTAAATATATATTTTGGACATTTGTGGAGACCGTGGGTGATCACAATGTAAAGTATTCACTGCCCTCCTGTGGTCAAAGTGGGAAATTGCAGCACTTTTTGACAAGAAAAGTTTTTAAATACTTGTTAAAAGCAAAACGTCTGAGTGATTATTGTTGCAATTATTGAAAAACACAACCACTGTTGACAAACGGCAGTATTTAAGGCTTTTTTGGAAACATTTTTGATTGTGTCGTTGATCGCTAGCAGGAACACATGTAGTTGGTACCGTCTAGCGGTGACGTCCTGAACTGCAGCACACAACAGCTGTCAAGTTAGACGTGATAGCATAGCTTTACATCCGATGCGTTCTTTCAAAATAACATGACACGTAACTACCGCAAAGGGATTAAAAAATCTCTTGAAAATTAGTCAATGAAACCCAAATAAAATTGGCTAAAAATGTAGTAATATGCAAAATTATATAACATCCAAAGATCTACAGTATATCTGTATGAATGATTGTTGTATTTCTCTTTAATAATATTGAAAACTAAACTTCATAAGCATAGAATTTGAGAGTAGCATTTCAAAGGGCCATTCAACCATTTATTTGCTCTTTGGCCTAAATAATTATTAAAATTACATACATTAATCTGTATTTTGTTTTTGTTTTTCATGTAATGTAAAAATAGCAGTTGTCTTATTTTTTAGGGAACGCTCATTTCAGACGACGGTAAAAAACAAACAAACAACTGACGTACTACGTCGGCTGCTGCTGTAACACTGCAGGAAACACAGCGCTATACGGCCCTTCGCACTTCCTTTCATACCGGCGCTGTGTTGGGGCAGAGCAGCGTCAGAGGAACTGCTGGATTAAAAGACTCCATATACTGACACAGAGTTCACGGTAAGAGCAGAGAAAGCACGCACAGACGTGTGAAAAGCGCCTGTTTTTAGCAGCATTTTCAGTCAAACATCAGAGATTTGTGTTTACGCGCGTGACACGCTCCACCCGGTTAGCTTAGCATTGCTAGCATGACCACCTGGCGGTGCCTAGGTTTAGCATTAGCCACAATGAGCTAACGGTGCAGAAAAAGCGTTTCAATGCTGCTCTATTTCTTTTAAATAATTACACTGGCTGATCTCAAGTTAGCAACTGTGCGTTTAGTCTCAGTATGTCTAGTTTTTAAGCAGCGATTATTACCAGTTGGCTACCGAAAGCCCGTAAAGAGCCCATTTATTCGTTTTTAATATTACAAATCTTAAACATCAAATCAAACGATAAAATAATGTCCTTGGACGTCCTTATGGTTGAAATCTTAGAATCGTGAATGTACCAGCAGTGAGCACCGATCATTACTTTATGTTACCAACTTTAATGCAGCATTACAGGATGATGACATGATCCACGTCAGGTCTACTGCGCACTCAATCTGCTTTGGAGATTGTCTTGATTGGTCTTTGTTCATCGGTCTTAAAAGACACCGAGTTAGTAGGGAATGTTTTATTTTAGCCACAGAGCGGTTTTTTGATGGTGGGAGCATGCCAGATGTTATCGTGAAGGGCTCAACACAGTACCGGTTCCTTTACTCCTTTTTCTTTAACTGTACCACCTAAACCTTACAAAGAAATATTTGACCCAGCTGTGGCCCACATTTGCAGCTTCCTTTGGCCTACATTTAGGCTTGACTCAGGATAAGTATGTTAACATGAATGCAACCTCAGGTCCATCTGAAATGGCCCAGATGTCCCACTTGTGGGTCAATCAACATTTAAACCATTTAAATACTGTATTTGTGGCCTGTGGTTCATGTCTGTGCATAACTGAGCCTTGAGTGTCAAAAGTAGACCAGATTTCTACAGGTCAAACTGCCCCACACTAAAATCATTTGGGGTGCATCCACACACATTCATTTTTGTTCAAAAGCCCTTCTGTTTTGCTTTATTGTAATTAAACAGCATTGTGGAATAGAAACCCCACGGCACCCTGCTGATTTAATTATAGAGTAGCAGAGACATCCTCCACCCACGCTAATAGCTCAAAAGGTGTTTGTTACATGCTTAGGCAACAGCTTGTACCATAGGATCCCAAGTGGTGTACTGCAGGATCCTATGTTGATCATACAGCTGTAATGACTGATTCACGAGCTATCTAAGTACTTTTTAGGCACTCATGTACCAGAATTCTCTTTCTGTTTTTGTCAAAGGGATCCAAAATCTCTTTGTTGATAGATGGTGGGAAATAATACAGCATGACACATTAAAAGCATTGAATGATTAAAAAAAAAATTGAGAAGGGACAAACCACAACTAACCATCAGTTAGATCCACCACCTAAAGAAAAGAGAAATGTGGGAAGAAACTATCCCAAAGACTTGCTTATATTGGCTAATTATGCAGGAGATAAATGAAATAAAAACTCATGGCAATTGTTGTAAAGAAAATAATTATTGCAATTCGGTTTTAACAATCAGTGGAAGCCAAAATTGTAACTAAAACGAAAATTTGTTTAACTGAAGAATCCTGTCACTGTTTTAATATGTTGTATTATAGCCATAAATCATGGAGTTGACTTTCAGGGGTCAGTGATGACTAGCCCACTGCGCAAGCTGATCAATGCCTGTTTCTTTTAGTGCATTGCTGAAGAAATCAGTGCTGCTCATTGCCTGAGACCCTGTATGTGTACCATCAGTCAGCTTGACCCAGAAGGTTTTTAATGTTTGGTCTCATAGGGTTTGTCGTCTTTTTCCGTTTCCCCTCTGTCTTCAGGCCATGGCGAAGTTCCACGCCCCTGTGATCCAGGACAACCCATCCGGCTGGGGTCCTTGTGCGGTCCCTGAGAAATTTAAAGACATGCCCTACCAGCCGTTCAGCAAAGGAGATCGTCTGGGAAAGGTTTGTTTTCAGTTTTGCTCTGAAAAGAGGAAAAAAGGTTTTCCAGGGTTTGTTTTTTTTTTACTGACTTTGTGTGTTTTGTGTTTGGTAGGTTGCAGACTGGACCGGAGCTACTTACCAAGACAAGAGATACACAAGTAAGTCACAGCTGTACATAGGGCTGTGCGATATGACCAAAATCTCATATCCCAATATAAGACATTTATCGTTCTGACAACGATATAAATCACAAAAATGTAACATACTGTTACTGTTACTGTTGTAACATACTGTTACAAAAATGTAACATTTTCTGTAAATTCGATGAATCTCGGGCAGTTCGACTTGGCGTGAAGTGTTTTCAGCTGGGCGTCCTTTACCTGGAGTCGAGTGTTTTAAACGATGCATGAAACTATACATTTTTACACATAGGTTGTAACGGCCGATGTTTTCTTTGTATTTATTACACGGCGTGCTGCGGGGAAAAGCCTGTTCTAACGTTTGAGTCTAAGGTTTATTTTTTTAGCACCTGGCGGCTCTTTTTGCTTCTCATCCATAAACTCTGCATACTATTTCACATGATTCAGTTTATTTTGAAAAGTCTCAACAGGATCTTGAGCTTTATTGTGAAAGGTTTACATGGAAAACAAACAAGCGGACAGCGGAGCCACGCGATGGTTTTACCGTTGTTGCTAATGACAACACATAAAAACAGGCGCTTGTCCGTCCGTAGTGTGGTTATATTAAATATAAGAGAAAGAGAGAACTTTAAGAAATTAATATAGCCACTACAGTGACCATCAAAACCATGAACAAATATTGCCGTAAACAGTTTATTTCACAACACCACGAAACAAACGATAGCGTGATAGGAAACGATAGACATTTTTATATCATCATCCGATATATATCGCTATATTGAACAGCCCTAGCTGTACAAAATCTGCCTCTTTGGTACGTTTTATTTGGCAGATTTTCTTTGATTTTCTTATATCTAAAATAAAGTTTTTAGAAAAAAATAGACTTGAATGTAGCTGGTTTTAAAGCGAATCTGTTACACCTAAATTGTGTGGAAAAGATAATTTCTTGTGTTTCATTAGAATATCAGCAGGATTAGACCACGACATCTGTTTTATTTGTATGATATCACAGTTTCTTCTCTTTTATATTCTGATTTACTTTTCTGTTTGCACAAGCATTTCAAACATCATCAAAAAACCTTCAATTTATTTTGTGGTTTCTTGCTGATTTCTTAATTGTTTGTTTATTTTGTCCTCAGATAAATATTCCTCTCAGTTTGGAGGCGGCAGTCAGTACGCCTACTTTCACGAGGAGGATGAGACGAGCTTCCAGCTGGTGGACACTGCCAAGACCCAGAAGACGGCTTACCAGAGGAACCGCATGAGGTTTGCTCAGGTACGACAGATCGTCGCAGAGTGGGTGATATTTAAATGTTTTTAATCTAACGCTTTAGGACTTTGGTAACAGTATGTTTTTGTTTTCACAGAGGAACCTGCGCAGGGACAAAGACCGCAGGAACATGACGCAGTTCAACATGCAGACGCTCCCGAAGAGCGCTAAGCAGAAAGAGAGGTGAGAGGAGAGCACATCTGAACGCTTTTGGTCACAGGCAGTGAAATAGTCACATCTTGAAGTTTGATCCCATGTTTTTGTCTTGTCAGAGAGCGAATGCGGCTGCAGAAGAAGTTCCAAAAGCAGTTTGGTGTCCGTCAGAAATGGGACCAAAAATCCCAGGTGTTTATTTACTGTTGAAATATAAATTCAATTTTTTGTGATGTAATAATGGGAAGGTTCATGTGTTTTTGCTTCAGGTTGTTTTGGATTTTTTCATTTTTATGCTGTAAACAATTAATCGAGAAAATAACTGGAAGGTAAACTGATACTGGAAGTCCAGAAAGAATATTAGCCACAGCGTAAATTTGAGTTTCACACTCTGGCTGTTTCACAAATAAGCTTAAGAAGTAAATAAATCCCAGTGAGCCTGACCTCGTATCATTTAATATTGGCTAGTTTTGTAGTGCATCTTAATCAAAGTAATGTCAGCATATGCTGCTTTAAATCTCAGCCCTCGCCAACAGTAAGAATTACATTTTTTCTGGTATGATTGCTTTTGTGGCTCACATCATGTTTAAACACATTTTTAAAGATAATGTGATCTCAAGGTTTTAAGACTCAAAGGTGTGTTTGTACTGTGGTGTTATTGACTTTGTTCTTGACATCCTTGTCTGTTCACGAAGGCGCAGCTGAAGCCCAGAGACTCCTCTGTGGAGGTTAGGAGTGACTGGGAGGTGAAGGAGGAGATGGACTTCCCCAGACTGATGAAGATGAGATACATGGAGGTGTCTGACCCCCTTGACATGTAGGTGAAGCTGAGCCGCTGTTTGTAATAGATTATTATAGGGGGAAATACAGGTGATGATGAGGTTTCACTTCTCATTTCCTGCAGTGAGTGCTGTGGTGCTTTGGAGTACTACGATAAGGCCTTTGATCGAATCACCACCCGCAACGAGAAGCAGCTGAAGAGCATCAAAAGGATCTTCCACACTGTTACTACCACAGACGACCCCGTCATCCGCAAGGTAAAAAATATGTTGCCTGAAAATGCATTGCTGTCTGAACCCTGTGTTTGGCAGCTTTCTTACATGATTATTTATTTCTTTCCTCCCTCCAGCTGGCTAAGACTCAGGGTAACGTGTTTGCCACTGATGCCATCTTGGCCACCTTGATGTGCTGCACGCGCTCAGTCAACTCCTGGGACATCATCGTGCAGAGAGTGGGCAACAAGCTGTTCTTCGACAAGAGAGATAACTCAGACTTTGGTGAGCGACCTGCAGTCACCAGCAGCTGGTTTCACTCTGATGTTTTACACTTAGTTTGCTCTGAAAAACAAGTTTGACTGAAGTTAAATAAAGCCTGAGAGAACAGCTCATGACCCAGGTGTTTTTCTGCAGAGAAGAACATTTGAAGGATTGCAATGAGAATTTTTAAACCACTCTTTTATTTACCCTGCATTTTGTTTACTTGAATATAACATATATTTACAACCCTGAAAGACGTTCTCATTGTGGGGAAAAAATGCCCCAAAACACTCACCAGTGAACATGACTGAGTTCTATCAGACATACTGACGCTCTGATCTCCAACTGTTAACTCAGATCTGCTAACTGTGAGCGAGACTGCCAACGAGCCTCCCCAGGATGAGGGCAACTCCTTCAACTCTCCTCGCAACCTGGCCATGGAGGCCACGTACATTAACCACAACTTCAGCCAGCAGTGTTTACGCATGGTACGAAGTCACATGACTGGAAGCCCCAACGCCTTTCTGTGCAAAGCTAAGCTAGCCTTACACAAAATTGGCTCATGAAAGTGAGTTGTCTTTGTTTTCTTTCTTGTAGGGTGGAGACCGTTACAAGTTTCCTAACTCCAACCCATTTGTGGAGGAGGATATGGACAAGAGTGAGGTGGCATCTGTGGCTTACCGGTATGTTCAGTAGCTTCAAACCAATTTGTAATTTCTCATCTTTCCAGCAGAACAGGAGGCTGTTGTAACTGCTGTAGTAAATATTCCTGGGTTTAATTCCTGATATTTTGTATTTGTGTTAAAGGTACCGTCACTGGAAGCTCGGAGAAGACATCGATCTGATCGTCCGCTGTGAGCACGATGGCGTGATGACTGGAGCCAGTGGAGAAGTGTCCTTCATTAACGTCAAGACTCTGAATGAGTGGGACTCCAGGGTAAGACAGGAAACAGGTTTAATGAAGTAGAGCTTAGTCAGTCAGGCTCATCTGTCTGTTAGTCGAGGAAATGGCCCGAAATAATTAAAGCCCTTGCTAGGTGCGGCGCCTTCATCTGCTCAGCTTAAAATGTATTCGATATATCTCCCTGACCGTTTTTACAAAAACTTAGAAAAATAAGGAAAGAAGGTGCTCTGGAGAAAACAAATAGGCCTAAATGGCAATTCCAAAAAAAACAGAAATGTGTTTTTCCTCAGTCTTTTTCACGTGCTTCTAAAAACTGCTGCATTCTGTACTTCACGTGTTTGATCACTAGATGTCAGCAAAAGGAAGCAGGACTCCTTCTGTGCTTCTGAACCTATGGTCAGCTATGTTTGTGGGTTGAGTCTATTATTGGAGACCAAGCTCTCATACAGACACGGGTCCTTCCAGATGTTTCACCTCACACAGAACAGAGTCTATGCTGTGTTAAAAATAACCATGGTTGTACCTCTCAGCTGCATCTGTCTGATGTGAATTTTCAGTGAGTAAAAATCAGAAGTGGTGACACATCTCCAGATTCAGACTCTGTGAAATATTGCTGTAATGAAGGCAGTTTTGTCATTCCAGATGCTTTTAAGGCATCCGCTACTAGAGCCACTCCTCTGTTCACAGGCAGTTAACCTCCTCCTTCAGCTAAGTATATGCTGTTCTGTTTATAAGCTTTGGTGCGTCTGATTTGTCTTGTCCTGTAGTATTGCAATGGTGTGGACTGGCGTCAGAAGCTGGACTCTCAGAGAGGAGCCGTCTTGGCCACCGAGCTGAAGAATAACAGCTACAAACTGGCGCGCTGGACCTGCTGCGCCATGCTGGCTGGATCAGAGTACCTGAAACTGGGGTGAGGAGCGAGATTCCGATTCTGTGTGTAAAAGAAGAGGAGGCTAATTTAAATATTAAGATGCAGAAAAAGGTTTTTCACCGATCGTTGATTGAGGAGCAATCCAGTTCCTTCTTGCAGTGCTCGTAGGCCAAGGCAGTAAGCTGGACTGACTGTCTCTGCATCACTCTGTGGTTTCTCCAGGTACGTTTCTCGGTACCACGTGAAAGACTCTGCTCGCCACGTCATCCTGGGCACCCAGCAGTTCAAACCCAATGAATTCGCCAGCCAGATCAACCTGAGCATGGAGAACGCCTGGGGAATCCTGCGCTGCGTCATCGACATCTGCCTCAAGCTGGACGAGGGCAAGTACCTGATCCTGAAGGACCCGAACAAGGTGAGCCGGCGCAGAGAGCAGAACTGAAAGGCAGCTGGGAGGTGTGTGAGCTCACAAGCTGATATTCTGTTTCTCATCTACAGCAAGTGATCCGTGTGTACAGCCTGCCTGATGGGACCTTCAGCTCTGATGAAGATGAGGAAGAAGAGGAGGATGAAGAAGACGAGGAGGAAGAAGGTATGGTTTAGCTCCTATTTTAAATAGAGGTTGAACTAAAGCTTGTGTGGGAAGCACAGGGTGTTCCAGTTTAACATGTTGGTGCTGGTGTGAAAATGGTTTGTGTCACTGGTGTGTGTTAGCGGTGAATACAAGTGCAGGATTTCTTCAGGTACAAATGTTTCTTACACACAGGACAGCAGGGATGTGCCCGACCAGCTGACGGTGCTGCTGCCCTCATTGGTCAGGGCCACAAATGCCAGTCGATTAACTAATTCATATTTTTAAATGGATTGTAATGCATGCTACATTTGCACATTCAGTGTTTGGTGCTCAAATTTGAGTGTTTTGTCACTTTTAGCCCATTTTGGTGTAACTTGGTGGAGTAACATTATCACATCTGTACTGGACCAGACTGCATGCTTAGTTGTCAGAGAACAGATATAAACTCTGTAAAAGTCCAAGAAACTGTTGGAATTTGATAAAATCACATTTTCTCTTAGTGTTTTAGTATTTTTATAAAACTTAATTCTTAAATAAACGTGCCTAAATTTGCCTTGTATAGCACAATTCAACAGCAAGGTGATTCAAAGTGCTTTACAGAGACATTAGAAACAAAAACAAATAAAAAGCATGATTTAAAATTGATTAAAACAAGCAAACAAACTAACTAATACACAAACAAACAAACAAACAAAACAGTATAAAAAATCAAAACAGATAAAATCAGAACAATAGATAAAAGTCTGTTTCTGGTGGAGTAACATTATCACATCTGTACTGGACCAGACTGCATGCTTAGTTGTCAGAGAACTGATATAAACTCTGTAAAAGTCCAAGAAACTGTTGGAATTTGATAAAATCACATTTTCTCTTAGTGTTTTAGTCTTTTTATAAAACTTAATTCTTAAGTCTGTTTCTGGGGTTGAGAAGGTCTTTTTCTCTCCAGTGGCTCCCTTATGCTGCATTAACAAGAAACATGGTGATTATGAAATGACCAGTGGCTATTTTTTTTGACATTCTTTTATTTATGATTGCTGTCATTGTTTTTGAACACTTTCTTTGGAACATCCAATCATATGAACCTCTGGGGTCACAAGAAGTTACTCAGAGTTAAAAAGGAAAAAAAGAAAAAGTAGCCTGTAACCTCAAAGAAACATTTTAATGTTTTTTTTAACAGCTCATCTTTCAAATGCTGTAAATGAAATAATTCAATTCCAGGGTGAAGAAATGCGTTTGTCTGCACTTTTTTTTTTAAATTATAAATTCCAAAGTTTGTGTGTCTTTGGTTTTTGAGTGTTCATTGTTCATAAATCAGATTCTTCTTGCACTTATGTTGAACCCTTTTCATTTCAGATGATGATAATTGAAGTGTGGAGTCAGCTTCAGTGACCAAAACAGCCTTGATCCTTCACTGAGAAACAAGTGAATTCCTTTTGACATTCAATAAAGGCAATAGCAGATTATACAACTACCTTTAATGTCTTGTGTTTTATTTCTTGTACTGAAGTTCAAAACATGTCATAAAGCATTTTATAGCTGAGCACAACGGACACAACACTGAGCTTGATAAACAAGGAGTGGATGTGACTGAAAACTGCTTGCTCATGGGCAGAGTAGTCAGAAGATGCTCAAATATAATCTGAAGCAAGTGACTGAACATAAACTCGGGAAATTGTTTGCAAAGGACAAGTCTGATGGTTGTTTGATTTTTTTCATAAAAGAAGAAAATGAATTTACTTAATATTTGAATAACAGTTACTATTACTTTTTTTTTACAACACTGATGGGATATTTTTGTCACCCTAATGAACGGACAGGTGGACACCCAAGTTTGTAAATGTGATAACTCGAGAATGAAGCCACACAGGATTTTCAAATTGATAACAGGTGTATCTACTAAAAGTGTTGGGTGAGTATAAATCTCAGTGGCCTCAAGACAGAGATGAAGTTTACTGAAAATCTTGTGAGTGTGATAACACAGGTATATCTACTAGGAGGCCTGAGGTGTACAACATGCCACTGCCAGTATTTTTACTGGGAGACCCTGAAGAGCTGCTCTGCTTATTCCCAGATGAACCTCAAAGGCAAATCACCAAGTTTCTCCTGAAGGACTTGATCCACTCTTTCACTCTGTGCAACAGTCAGTGTGTTCTTCCAGTCTCCAATCTGACCTGTAATGAAGACAAAAACACAACACCTGATACCCTGATATCACATTTGTCTGCACAGCAGCTGCAGGTCTGTTATGTTACCTTTACGCAGGAATTTCCCACTGAACTGCTCTGGTGGAAGGTGCTCATAGTTTGCTTTCGAGTCATTCTTCATGTTCTCAAACTTAGCTTTTTCCACAACATGACTGATAGCAGCTTCAGTCAGGTTTTTCCCTAAGAAGTTGCAGATCTTCTTCACTGATCCTTTCAGGTCCTGAAAGAAACGCAGGAAGGCAAGAGAAAAAGAACCTTAAACTCTGCCAGATATTTTATTTCAGTTTCCTTAGGAACAACAAAAATGCGAAGAAACATCTTACCAAAATCATTTCCTCGTAGGTCAAGAAGAGGATGTTGTACTGCTCTCTGTTTGAATACCACTCCCTGACATGATCAAACCAGGATGATGCTAGTACTGTATAGCAGCATAAGGCATCTGGTCATTTGGCATTTTAATTTAAAATCAAGTGTCTGTTGACTGTATTTACCCCACTACAATTCTAATACCAGCAGCATGATAACAGGTAGAGGAAGAAAAAAGGTTTTTGCTACACAAACAAATATCTTTTTGGAGTTTTTGTTTTAATAATAGATGTGGAACGGCACTGTCCTCTTCACAAGTGGTCCCCTTCGGATGTTGGAAGCTAACTTGGAGTAAATCACTTACAGCCACAAGACTGAACTTTTATCAAAAGCAAAAAACAATGTTAGAACAAAGTCAGTGCTTTAGGAAATCTTTCAATTTGGATTAAAGTGAAGTAAAGTATATTAATGATACCAGAATGTCAGTGATTTAAAGGGTCAAAAGGGGAATGAGTTCAAAAGATTACAAGCTGTTTTTGTGTGACCCACCTCTGTTTGCTTAGGAAAGACACAAGCACAGGTTGGTGGACAGAACGTTCTGTGTGTTTTTTATCTTATTTGCTAATTGCTCAATCTGGTAAAAAGGTTTTACAACGTCAAGAGTCAAATAACTGAGGTACCACTGTTTTAATTTGTAAAGTAACTAATAGATATGCAGTATGTGTCATATCAAAAGTATTTTTGT